TTGTGTTGTTATATCACAACAGTTCTCAATGTCTAGATATATCGAACCCTTCAGAGACTCCAGCTCTCCGTGGAAACAAGTCAATGTCTTTGTTCACTTCACAGAACATATTATCATTTCAAGCACATTTCATATTTTTCATTTAACACTTGACACTTTGTCAGGACCCATTGGAGAGAAAATCTGGATCACCACAACTTTGGGAAACTATATAATAATCCATCTTGGATATCACAAATACATCCATAGTATTTGGAGCTTTGAATTTATACAAAAAACAAATCCAAAATATGATGCTTTTGAACCCTTTTCCATTATAGACTCCCAGTATGAAGAGAAGAATTTTCAGTGTTCTTTTTCAAAGCAGTTTTTTTCTGTGAAAGGCCAGAAAAGATGTACCCAAAAAACTCCAGTGGTGGCAGAAGATGACTTGAATGGGTTATTTGTTGTAAACAGTGACTCTGTTTACATTATATTTATGACTCTGGCCCATGTCTTGAAGGCTGCATATTCGTCCAGATCCTGGAGAAGAAGGAAGGAGGCCCAAGAAACACTGGAGGCTCCAAGGCTGAAGCCCTGGCAGGTATGGGGTCTCAACAAGGATCCAACAAACAAAATTCCTCTGGAGAAGGAATCCATTAGAGAAAGAGGGGAATCATATCAACCTCCTTGTGCTGCAAAAGGTCAACAGATTTTGCCAATCTAATTGCTCAGGCAATAATTTACCAAGGAACTGCTAACCAGATATATCTTGATATTAAACACTTCTAATTTTAAAAGGATAATTGAACTTTTAACAATATTCCTGTATGTAGGCTTGGTGATTAGCTGTTGAACAGGGGTGTCAAACTTGCATTGCCGGCAATGGGGTGGGCATGATTTCATTATGATGCATCTGGCCCAGGGGCCGGCAGTTTGACACCCCTGCTGTAGAATTTTAGTTTTATAAATTTGGAGGAGACCCTGAAAACAACTGATGGCCTAAGCCTCAGCTGGATTCTATTTTCCCCAGTGTGAATGGCTAAGGAATCATGCTGGAATGAGGAAGGCAACTTTCAGCTGTTTACTCCTGCAGAAATAGAGCTTCATCCTTGGGACAGAGGATCATTTCAAATACTCTGAGCAAAAGGTAGCTCAGAACTTTATACAAAATGCTCCTTTGTTGTTTACTACATGTCAGCCTATGTGACCTGTCACAAGATCACACTTTCACACTTGGTTAATTAAATTTCTCTTTTTTGGTATAGGATTACATTTGTTGTATGTAGTACAAGATAGAAAAAAAAAACTTTCTAATCTTATTATTCTCAAGAATTTAATGCTGCATGTAGTTTTGCAAGAAAGCAGGCAAAGAGGGGCACATAGACAGGCTAGTGGGCAATTTCATCAACTCTAACTTTTGCTGCCTTGTTTCTATATAACTTGGTCACTTCCTGGCTGACCTGGTGTTGAAACATTATTTGAAACCTTTTCTTATGAATAGTATTCTTTTTCTATAGAAGTTACTGCTTTTACAACTCCTCCTCTAGGATTTAAAGGGGACTTTCCCTATTTAATAATAATAATAATAGTAAAGTTGGAAGGGACCTTGGAGGTCATCTAGTCCAACTCCCTGCTCAGGCAGGAACCCCTACACCATTCGGACAAATGGCTGTCCAGTCTCTTCTTAAAAATCCAGTGTTGGAGCATTACTGCTTCGGAGCAGGTTGTTCCACTGGTTAATTGTTCTCTGTCAGGAAGTTTCTCCTTAGTTCTAGGTTGCTTCTCTCCTTGATTAGTTTCCACCCGTTGCTTCTTGTCCTGCCTTCAGCGCTTTGGAGAATAGCTTGATTCCCTCTTCTTTATGGCAGCCCCTGAGATATTGGAATACTGCTATCATGTCCCCCCTTGTCCTTCTCTTCGTTAAACTAGACATACCCAATTCCAGCAACCATTCCTTATATGTTTTAGCCTCCAGTCCCCTAATCATCTTTGTTGCTCTTCTCTTTGAAGGATCCCTTTATTTTATATTCTTCATCATTTTATATTCTTAAGCTGTAATCAAGCTATCATAGTCTAAACTACCTCTCTACAGAAATCCCAGTAAAATATTCTCTGACTGGCAGCTGCTCAGTCTCTGCATTAAGCCAACCAGTGAAGGGGAGACTGAACTTCTCTGATTCACTTGCTAAGCTGTAAAACTGCTCCTCTTAGGATATTTTTCTTTTAATTTAGCCAGAATATCATCACTGAGTTCATTTTACCATGTTCCATGTTCAAAGTGAACAGATCTTAAGCTTCTGTGTAACATCTTTCAGTTTTTGGACGAGTGCCATATTCTTCCTTTCTCCAATTACGACACTCTGATAGAAAAGGTGCTCACAGATTCCTGATTTTCAGCTCCTGTAGATCCACATGGATCTTCTCCTTCTAGTCTTTCCTCAGGGCAAAAAGCAGCTTCTTTGACCTCTTCCTTCCCTTCATTACTCTTCCCTAAAGCTGATCCAGATTTTCTGAAATGTCTTCTCCCAGCATGGTGCCTGCAAGAAGAGCTGATTTTTGAGTTGGGGTCCCCCCAAATTAAATCTTCACATCCTGAGATTCTCATGGATGCATTTGCTTTCTTTCCATGAGCATCTCACTGCTGCCTCACATTTAATTTGCAAACTTCTATTATTTTAATATCATTTTCACAAATATTCTTATCAAGTTTGATCATCCTTTGTCAGCGAAGTTCTTGTAAAAAATGTTGCTGAAAATCAGACATTTTCCTACTGGAGTTTAATTATGGACCTCTATCAGGAAATCACTTTTTGTGGATAGAAACTTGATATTTTTAGAAAAAGATCAAATTAGCTTTATCTAAGAATTGGTACAAATCTTAGACAAAATAATACTTTACCAACTCTACTGTTAATGACAATACAGAAGAATAGATGACCAAAGACAAATTGTTATTTATAACTATCTAGTTTTATGAGAAAGATTAAAAAGATTAAAAATTATTTGAGTTTTTATCCGGTTAATTATCATACTATCCAGCTATTAGTTAATTTGGTTCCTAATCATCACATAACAAAATCATTTGCTAGTACAGGTGGTCATTGACTTTTGACCACAATTGAGCCAAAAAGTTCTGTTGCTATGTGAGACAATTAAGTGAATTTTGCCCCATTTTATGACCTCTCTTGCCACAGTTGACAAGCAAATCACTGCAGTTGTTAAGTTAGTAACAGGGTTGTTAACTGAGTCTACAGTAGCTTCCCCATTGACTTTACTTGTCAGAAGATCACAAAAGGGGATCACAGGACCCCAGGACACTACAACCATCATACATATGAACCAGTTGCCCAGCATCCGAATTTTGATCATGTGACCATGGGGATGCTATAATGTTTATAAATGTGAAAGTCTGTCATAAATCACTTTTTTCAGTGATGTTGTAACTTTGAATGGTCACTAAATGAGCTGTTGTAAGGGGAGGACTACCTGTGTTTTGCTGAAATCAACTTACATCATCATCATTCCCATCAGCTATTAAGGAACTGTAATGATAGAAAGTGAAGAGGAACTAAAGAGCTTCTTGATGCAGGTGAAGAAGGAGAGTGCAAAAGTTGGCTTGAAACTCAACATTAAGAAAACCAAAATCATGGCATCTGGCCCTCTCAATTCCTGGCAAATAGATGGGAAAGAAATGGAGGTAGTGACAGATTTTATTTTTCTGGGCTCCAAGATCACCTCAGATGGGGACTGCAGCCAAGGAATTAAAAGACGCTTGCTCCTGGGGAAGAAAGCTATGGCAAATCTAGACAGCATATTAAAAAGCAGACACATCACCCTGCCAACAAAAGTACGTATAGTCAAGGTCATGGTTTTCCCAGTTGCAATGTATGGCTGTGAAAGTTGGACCATAAGAAAGGCTGAGCGCCAAAGAATTGAGGCCTTTGAACTATGGCGCTGGAGAAGACTCCTGCGAGTCCCTTGGACTGCAAGGCGGTCAAACCGGTCAGTCCTAGAAGAGATCAACCCTGACTGCTCTTTAGAAGGCCAGATCCTGAAGCTGAAACTCAAATACTTTGGCCACCTAATGAGAAGGAAGGATTCACTGGAGAAGGGCCTAATGCTGGGAAAGATTGAGGGCAATAGAAGAAGGGGAGGACAGAGAATGAGATGGCTGGATGGAGTCACTGAAGCAGTAGGTGCGAACTTAAATGGACTCCAGAAGATGGTAGAGGACAGGAAGACCTGGAGGAACGTTGTCCATGGGGTCGCGATGGGTCAGACACGACTTCGCAATTAACAACAACAACAACAAAGATAGATGAGAATAACTTTGAGGAAAAGGAGATCACCTGCCCAGGGAGTGATCAGATAAAATGGGGGATCCTGCAGCTGCCTAACAGCCAGCAAAAGAAACTCAGAAAGGATCCTCCCTAAATTTTCAGACTGAAAAATTAATTGGTAGGAGTTTTGTACTTTTACACTTGCAGGGTACTCTTACTAGCAAAATTAACTTACTAGTAGAATTAGCTCCTGTGGTCGTATTTCCTGTCCAGTTTATCTGGGAGAAGATTATCTTGGAAACTTTCTTCTTGAAAAAGATCCATGCTTTTGGGTAATCAATCTTTATTTTCAAGGAGTTTATGAAGAATCTCTTTTTTTTTTTGCTGTTGTTCAATTTATTTGATACCTGCTGTAGAACGTTCCCTATAATTGACCAAATGTATCTATTACATTTTCTCAGTACGTATTTTTTCAATATATGATTGATGAATTTTACTGAATCTTTTTTGTTCACTTATGAATTTAGTGGTAACACTTGTCCTAATCAAGCATGTTTGCACATTAAAAAAAAACTGTAGAAGAAATAGTCATGCATGAAAATACCAGGTGGAATAGCAAACCAAGGTTTCTGCTTTTGAAATTCCTGGATGTTTCCATTCTAGTTCCATCCCTTTCTGGAGAAGAATGAGTTCTACAATCTGTCCTGCTGGAATCTTTACCTGGACCATAATGGAGAAGAAACTGCAGATATGGACATTGAGGTCTTGGTGATTTCATCTGAGGGGGATTTGATTAAAAGGAAACTGGGGAGTATTGAAAGACAGAGAATTATTATTAACCAAATTGCTCATTCATGGCTAAATCTGCTCAACAAGGTGGGTAAAATATTGCTATGTTTTCTCTTTTTTTTCCTAAAGATTATGACCCACTTCAAGTGGGCTAACTCTGGCCACCATCGTAGATGACCCTCACTGAGAGTTGAATGTACAGAAGAGAAAACTTAATATTTTGTTAGATTGCTTGTGGGGATTTCAATATTGTCCTTCAGATGCCATGATAAGGAATATTCTTTTAAACTGATTCAGTTATGTCCAATATTGGATGCTGCATGATTATCCTTTAGGATGGAGACCGTGGATCAAGCTGTTGAGAAATATTCAAATGCTGGCATTTGTGCTGCTAATAGCCTCAGGTTCTTTTAACCAGTGTCTGCATTAAGGTTTGGACCGAATCAAATGAAATATAGTCATGACTGGTTAGAGGTCCTGTTGGTCCATGTGAGAAATAAGCCTCACCTTGTTCAAATTGGGGATTGTCTCCCTTGAAAGGTCACTGATGTTCTATATTTTTTATAAGCAGCCCAAAGATGGCCAGAGTAATCTCTCTTTCACCCTACTGGGATGAGCCATAGGCCTTCTGCTCCCCAGAATAAGGTCCAAAGACTTAGGATCACATGAAACTGTAAGGACTATTTTGATGTGAGATAATTCCCTGACCTAGAAAACTGAAGCACCGAAACAAAACCTTGATCCAAAGAAAAGCCCTTCCTTGTTTTGGAAATTACAAGGGAAAATTTGAAAGGAAATGCTACCCAGATTTGGGCTTTGGCTTGTAAGAGGGCACCTCATCTGAAAAACCTGGAATGCATTTCTTTCAACTTTTTTGTTAGCCCTCTGAGCAAAAAGGAGAATCCAAATTTAACTAATAAGAAATGTAGGTTTGTCTTCTCATGCAAGTTGGTATCCCCTAATTTCTTCAGTGGTGAAAAAAAACAGATACAGAGATGAACACAAGTTTTCTACTATTGTCCAACTTGCTGAATATGAAAAGCTAATAATAAAAATAATAATAATACCATAAAGGCAATTAACACCTGGGCAATCCCAGTCATTAGGTACACAGCTGGAGTTGAAATACAGGCATATAAGAGTTTTACCAAATAATTCCTATTTGAGTGTCCCATAAATGTGGTATAGGGTAGGGAGGTGGGATTGGGCATAAATACTCCTAACTAAATTGCACTAATTCATCCATCTCATCCTTCTGCTTGTGGACACTCCAGAGTTATTTGGGTCATGAATAACAGAATAGCAGAGTTGGAAGTGACCTTGGAATTCTTCTAGTCCAACCCCCTGCTCAGGCAGGAGACCCTATACCATTTCAGACAAATGGTTGTCCAGTTTCTTTTCAGAAATCTCAAGTGTTGGAGCACTCACAACTTTGGAGGCAGGTTGTTCCACTGGTTAATTGTTCTCACTGTCAGGAAATTTCTCTTTAGTTCTAGGTTGCTTCTCTTCTTCATTAGTTTCCATCTGCTTCTTCTTGTCCTGACGTCTGGTGCTTTGGAGAATAGCTTGACTCCCTCTTCTTTGCGGCAGCCCCTGAGATATTGGAAGACTGCTATCATGTCACCCCTCATCCTTCTCTTCATTAAACTAGACATATCCAATTCAAGAAAACATTCTTTATATGTTTTAGCCTACAGTCCCCTAATCATCTTTGCTGCTCTTCTCTGCACTCTTGCCAGAGTCTCAACATCTTTTTTATATTATGGTGACCAAAACTGGATGCAGTATTCTAAGCATGGTCTTACCAAGACACTGTGAGGTAAAGATGGATCCTGGTCTGATTCAGAAGACCTGTTCTTAACTTTTGGAAATGGAAATTTGCAAATTTGCAAACCATTTAAAGAAGGAATTCCTCCTGAAATTATCACATAGTTTCTCAATCTTAACAGAAATATGATTGGTTGGATGTATCTCCTTGGCTTTATCTTGACTGTATCTTTCTAGCACCCAAGAGGTTCTCAGCCTTCCTCGCCGCTTCTTGGACCTGGATAAATGGGTAGCATTTAAGGACTGTGTTACAATCTGCACTTTTAACTGATGTGGAGAAAGTCTGTTTTTGCTGATGCACCTGTAGAAAACCATAGTAATATGGCCAAATTTTGTATGGAGTCTTCTGTTATTCTGTTGTTTTGGAGAGAAACTGTTAATCATATACATGTGCTGATTTCCTTCAAACCATGTATGTGATTAATTTGTTTTCAAAGGTTGGTGTGTGTTTTTTTCACTTTAATTGTTCATTTTTAAATTTTTCTTGTTCTCTTTTGAATGATGTGTTTTGTTGAAAGCTGGTCTAAGACTAAATATAGCTGAGCTAATCTTAAAATTACAATTTTGCACAGAACAGTGGATTGAATTCAGTTCTGCAGGCCTCTTTCACACCTGTGGTTTTAGTTATAATCTTTTTTACTTTATTGTATCTCTGAACTTTTTCTTACTTAAGCAGCATACCAATTTTGTGCATGGCACAACACCAGGGCAAAAGACATCAGGATGATACCCAGATTTTCTTCATAAGACAGGAAAGATATAACTTTGGGAATACATTGGATATGATCCTTATTTGGATATTTATCATCTGGACACTTGGTTCATTTTTCTGCATCTGCAAACCCCCCCCAAAAAACATTTCTTTAATATTTTATTCTTTCATTTTGCAAAAAATAACTTCTTTAGAAAGCAATTGATACTAGGAAGATTTTTTAAGATGCATCTCTTAATGTCTCCACAGAAACATTTTTTTTTTAAAAAAAATAGCAAAATAGCGGTAACACTCATATAAGGAGGTGCACCCATAACTATACATGTCACCTCACTGTGGTCCAGCAATTATTCCTATATAGAATAAATTGCAAAAAAATCTTTTAGAGGGTGGACCTAAGGTAATTCCTCAAACTTCCAAGAATTCAGATATTCACAGAAAGATAAATGTGGAAAGAGAGATCCAAAATAAAAAGCAAAAGGTATTTTCTTTGGCAGTATTAAAACTTGCCCAACGTGCCATACTAATCTTAACTCTATCCAGCCCTTCCTTCAATGTCTTTTGGCTATTCCTCCCTTTAGAGAAGAAATTGTGCAGTTTAAAAATAAATAACATTTGACCTTTAACACATCCTTTAACATTGAAGTCCATAAAAATGCTTTAGAGCAGGGGTGTCAAACTGCCAGCCCACAGGCCGGTTTCATTATACTGGAGCCGCGCCCACCCCATTGCTGGCAATAGTGAAAAAGCTCCGATACATCGCACAACATCACATGACGTCACGAGTTTGACAGGCCTGCTCTAGAGGAATCCCACAAATCTGCTCTTTTCTTTGGTGTCACCCACCTTTTTGAATGGAGATGGTTCCCTCTGGACAAAGAACACAATCATAGCAACAAATTGGCTCTCCTTTTTTTTTATTGAAAAGTTTTACAAAAAATTACAAAATATACCCCAAAACCACCCACCCTATCCCCCCCTCCCCCACTTCCCAGAGCTGAATACAGGGTAATAAATATAATAATCATAATCTAACCAACATTAACCAACTATATAGATAAACAAATATAATGCACTTTAACTCTCTTTTAACACAAAGTAAACAATTTGAAATTGGCTCTCCTTCTTGCTTCCGCTTGACAAATCCAGGATGACAATTTTCCACACATTGGGATTGAGGTAAAGGCTAAGGAGCAAAACAAGGAATGCCAAAGAAAATGCGTCTGGACTAAACATCCATGGAAAATGGAGGTAGATATGAAGTTTAGCTGAGTCATCTCTCTGGGCTTCAGTTGAAGAAATATGAATTCTCTAACTAGTTCCAAATGGTTTCAGGAGTTACAACCACTGACAAATTCTTCATTTAGTTCCTCCTTTTTACTTCTGGCATATCTCAAGGCAATAAAGGACTTTTCTACTTAATAAAGTGTGGAAGGAAGGAAGGAACAGAAAAGATTACAGCATTAAGTGACAACTAGTGGGGTCCTACTTATGGCTGTATTAACATGCGTTCTTCCATTCTTCATATATCTATGATTATAAAGTATGATGAACTTATTATATTAAATTTTAGAAAAATATTATTATAATACATTTTTACTCTACTGGATTTGTTAAAATATAACAAATCTTTGATGAAGAAAGAAATTTCTTTGAAATTTTATCAAACTCCTACTGAGTGAAACAACCAAGCACTGGATGTCTATATCTGTGATTACTTCTCCATTTTGGCCCAGGTAGAGCAGGGGTGTCAAACTGCTGGCCTGTGGGCCATATGCATCACGTGCATGCTGGCAATTGCAAAACCGGCCCGATACATTGCGTGACATCACATGACCTCGCGAGTTTGACATGTCTGAGGTAGAGCTTCCAATTGGAAAGATGGTAGAATTCATTCTTCTCCAGAAAGGGATGGAACTAGAATAGAAACATCCAGGAATTTTAAAAGCAGAAATCACCAGATATTTTTATGTATGAATCATAGTTACCACTAAGTTCATAAGTGAACGAAAATGGTTCAGCAAAATTTGTCAATCATATATGGTCAAAATATGTATTGAATTGAAAAGGGAAACTCCTCCCCAGAAACTGAATATTCCCTCCCATCTTACCATTCCAAAGAATCCCCATACGAATTATGCAGGAAGTTTCCCATCTTTTTCTTTGCTATAACAGTTGCTGGTCTAAACTTATGGAAATTATGTTTCATTCAGAGGATACAGTGTTGCCCATTCAGAAAAAAAAACATTCAGAAAATATCCATCTTCACACCTGGGAACAAAGGACACAAAGCATATAAAAACTCACTAGGTTGCCACCCTATTTTGCCAGCTGCCCCCAGTTGCTGTTACTGAGAAAATAAATGGAACCTCTTTTCCAAACAGTAGCATGTCACTTCTCTCATAGCTGGAGAAGGAAACGGACCCTAAACAAAATCCATGCTCCATCATGGGGTGATATGGTGCAATTGCTACATATCTTCCTCCCAAAGGATGAGGTCCTGAAGCTGTTTGAAAAGACCGAGGAAATTGCCAGATGGCCAGTCAGAATAACCACCAGGGATGTTGCCCCAGTGAGAGTTCCCTGGCTAATAATAATAATAGTAGTAGTAGTAGTAGTAGTAGTAGTAGTAGTAGTAGTAGTAGTAAACTTGGAAGGGACCTTGGAGGTCATCAAGTCCAACCCCCTGCTCAGGAAGGAAACCCTATATCATTTTGGACAAATGGCTGTCCAGTCTCCAGTGTTGGAGCATTCACTGTTTCTGGAGGCAGGTCATGAGTCATCTTGCCTGAGATTATAACATTGCAACCCACTGGGATGAATATAATCAGGCCAAAGAGAATTTGTTGGAGGCTTTGCAAGAAATTGGGCACAAGCCATTAAACTGGTCTGAATTCCAGCATACAATGGAAAAAGGGAAGGGGAAATACCAGATGCCTTCTGGGTTCACCTCCTGGAAGCAGGGCTTCCCTCTGCCCAAAGATATGATCAGCCCCAAAGACCAATGAATCGTGGCCTCTGCCTTTGTAGACCAGTCTGCCAGTGACAACAAGGGGCCATTTAGACCAGATTGTACCTAACTGGTCTACTTTGAAGTTGCACAGTTGTGCAAGTTGTGTTCAATCAAAGGGCAAAATTGAAGGAGGAAGATAGAGAAAGAAAGGAGGAAGAGAAAGAAAAAGAAAAAGAGAGGTAAAGAAAGAGAAGGACAGAACGGAGGGAGGAATTAAAAATGTTTCCTGATTTCGTCTTTCCAGGTTCGGGCTATTTGCTGATATTCTGTCTTAGTTATGTGCCCCTCTTTACACTTTTTTTACTTGTCCTTTTTGTCTTTCAGTTTATCAGAGAGTTCTTTGCACAGCCATGCTGGTTTCTTTTGAGATCTTTCATTTTTCTTCTTGGTTGGTATTGTGCTAGAGTACCCTTACATAATATCATTTTTAAAAAGTTTTCGAAGCTTCATGGATTGTTTTCTCCTTCAGGATTTCCATCCATGAAATCCTTCCCAAGCACTCTCTAAATCTGTTAAAATCAGGTCTCTTTAAATCCAATATTTAATTTGATTTTTTTTATTCCTTGTGCTTGCATTATGTTTAATTCCAATATTGCATGGTCACTCCCCCCCCCCCTAGGATTCCTGTAACTTCAACCCTTTCTATCATTACATGAAAATTAAGTCCAGTGTGGCTGACTCTCTAGCTCCCTTCTGTAACCTTTCCTTCTCTACCTTTGAATTGACCAAGTTATGTAAAAACAAGCCATCAAAAGTTAGAACTGATTAAATTACGAATGATAAGATTAGGAAGGTTTTGCTATCAAAAAGAAACTTTTTGTATAAATAACTAAGCCAGCTTTTACTCATGGTCCTTCATTTGGACCTCTGTCCCAAGCGTGAAACTCTCTATTTCTGCAGGAATAAACAGCTGTAAGTCACTTTCCTTGTTCCACTGAAAAAAGAAAAAAGAACCCAGCTGAGGCCATCAGATATTCTTGGATGACACCAAGCTGGCATGAATAGCCAACACTCCAGAAGACAGGCTTAAGATACAGGAGGACCTGAACAGACTTGAACACTGGGCGCTATCTAACAAAAAGAAATTCAATGGTGAAAAAAGTAAGGTTCTACATTTAGGCAAGAACAACCAAATGTACAGGTATGGTATAGGGGGTACCTTGCTCAATAGTAGTAACTGTGAGAGGGATCTCAGAGTCCTAGTAGACAATCACTTAAATATGAGCCAGCAGTGTGCTGCAGCTGCCAAAAAGGCCAACACAGTGCTAGGCTGCATTAATAGAGGGATAGAATCAAGATCACGTGAAGTGTTAATACCACTTTACAATACCTTGATAAGACCATACTTGGAATACTGCATCCAGTTTTGGTCACCACGATGTAAAAAAGATGCTGAGACTCTAGAAAGAGTACAGAGAAGAGCAACAAAGATGATTAGGGGACTGGAGGCTAAAACATATAAGGAACGATTGCTGGAATTGGGTATGTCTAGTTTAACAAAGAGAAGGACAAGGGGGGACATGATAGCAGTGTTCCAATATCTCAGTGGTTGCCACAAAGAAGAGGAGTCAAGCTGTTCTCCAAAGCGCCTGAAGGCAGGACAAGAAGCAACGGATGGAAACTGATCAAGGAGAGAAGCAACCTAGAACTAAGGAGAAACTTCCTGACAGTTAGAACAATTAACCAATGGAACAACCTGCCTCCAGAAGTGGTGAATGCTCCAACACTGGAAGTTTTTAAGAAGAGACTGGACAGCCATTTGTCTGAAATGGTATAGGGTTCCTGCCTGAGAAGGGGTTGGACTAGATGACCTCCAAGGTCCCTTCCAACATTATTATTATTGTTGTTGTTGTTGTTGTTACATTTATAAAAGTAAAATACTAGAACCTTGTGTTGGATCCCTTGTGTTTGATATCCCTTTCCCACACAGGGTTCACACTCATGACCCATGTGGTGCATCAAAAATGCCTGACTCAACCTTTTTGAGGGACATGTTCAAATGACCTCACCTCCATCTCACCTTACTATAGTTTTAGAAACTAGTCAGTCAGTTTTAGTTTTAGTTCACCCGCATAGCAATCACTTTGCAATGTTTATATACTCCAAAAGAAAACTTTCCAGTTTCTACTGGTCAGAAGTTTCTTTCTTCATCACAATTTTATTCTATTTTAATAAATCCAATGAAATAAAAAATAATAATAAATCTTTTGCAATAAAGTTTACTCTAAAATTTACTATTTGTGGATATTATGTTTTAAAATCAAACATATATGAAAGATGAATGTAAGTTAATTCCACTATAAGGAGGAAAACACAGGTTGTCATTTAGTGCTTAAATATTTTCTCAATTTCTTCCCTCCAGATATTTTTAGATAGAAAGGTACTTTTTTAATAACTGATATCCTCCAAGAAAAAAACCACTTGGAAGTACTCAGAGATATCATATTTGCTTATTTGAAGCTCAGAGACTACTTGGCTAATGTTCATGTCCACTTCCATTTTTTATGAATGATGAGTCGTAACATATTTTCTTTGGCATTTCTTCTTTCTCTTCTCAGTCTCTGCCTCAGTCCAAATGCATGGAAACATGTCAGCCTGGATTTGTCAAGAAGGCTCTAGAAGGAGAGTCAGTTTGCTGCCATGACTGTTTGCCTTGTCCAGAAGGGACCATCTCCACTCAGGAAGGTGGGTGACACCATAAGGAAAGCTGCTAGATTCATCCAGAGCATTTTGATCAATATGCATATCAAAACACATATAAGATTTATTATTTTGTTCTTAATTTTCATGGTGTCCAATTTCTTCAATAATCAGAGGGATAAGAAAGATATATTGAAGGATGAGGGAGGGAGAAGTATGTTGTGGATTGCATAGGAAAACTCTCTTATTTGCAAGTTTGAATGTGTCATTCCATACTTATCTTTTTAGGAACATCTGAATTCTTTGTAATTTGAGGAATGATTTTAGATCAATGGGTTCCATATATAGGTTCTGCTCACCCAAACCTACTTTACTGTGTATTACAGGCCAAAAGAAACATCAATCAATCTTTCACATCAGTCAAACTTTATGAAGATCATAAATCTTCATAATCTGAAATATCTAATTGGGAGGAACAATGGAGGGAGAGATGTTGGGTTCAAGGAACGAATAAAAACCAAACACAGGATTCACAATAAAAACTATCAAGTGGATATTTCCTTCCCACCTTTTCTTATTTTTCCAATTGTCTTTGTTGTTAAATAGTGGGATACAAACAGTTATAACACCAACAACCAAAAAAAGGTTCTGAAAAGGAAAAAAAAGTTTAGCATACAGTGTTGGGATTAAAAGGAAGAGAATGGAGGAGGGTGGGACTAATAAAAGACCAATCTACTAAATATCCATTGATACCAAAGTTGAACTCATTCTCTTTTTAAAATTTGCTGCCAAGTCTAGAGAGTATGGAAATATATTGCTTCAGCTTCTCATGTTTACAGGGTAAAAAGACTTTGCAGATAACAGACTCAGTTTCTGTTCTTAAATTCCTTCATGAAACAAACTTTCTTTAAATTTATTTATCAAATGTATATGGCTGCCTACTTCACAAATGGCTCTTGGTGACATATAATTAAAGCAATAATTAAAAATTAAAACAATGAGAAATAAATGCTAAGAAAGCAAGAGAGGAATGCATCAAAATGCTACTTACTATGCAACCAGCACACAGGGCCCTGTTAACGTTCCCCAGGGCTGTTGACAGAATTACATTTTAACAGATTTCTAGAAGGCCTCACAGTTTGGAGATATTCTCAGTTCCAGGGTAGTTAATGGTTTTTTTTTTTTTTTTTTCCTGGAAGGGGCTGTACAATCTGGTCTGAAGTAGACAGTTATGCACTTCCTTCTAAAAAGGCTCTCCATGGATCGAACCATCTTAGACAACTTTTACCTTGTGTCCAGTATTTTTAGAGCAATTTATTGAGAGTATGGTTTTGGGTCAATCATCAGTAACTGAGTTTAACTATTCTTGGGAGATATATATGTCTATCTTGTCAGAAATTTAAAAATTAAAACAAACAAACAAACTCAAAGTAAGGTCAGTGCAAGATAAAAATCTGGTAGATTACCCCAGGGAAGGGAGGTTGTGGCACCAGATATTTCTTCTTTTAATTTCATTTTCTTGTTGTTCTTGTTTTTATACTTGTATATACTGGGGATTTTTTCCCTGGAATGTAAGTATGTACAATTTACTGAGGCTTTCCCATCTCTCAGTATCACATTTCATCCAAAGGTTTTCTTGAAATTTGTAAGACCATAAAATAAATATTTCTTTCTTTTGTCAGATACTGAAAAGTACACCAAGTGCCCAAATGATCAATACCCAACCAAGAACCGACTCCAATGTATCCCAAAAAGGATAATCTTCCTGTCCAAAGATGAACATCTCAGCATCAACTTCATCTCCTTTGGCCTACTCGTGTTCCTAACTACAGGGTTCATCATAATCATATTCCTTCAATAATTAGAAACTTGCATAATAATAATAATAATAATAATAATAATAATGTTGAAAGTGACCTTGGAGGTCATCTAGTCCAACCCCCCTGCTCCGGCAGGAAATCCTATACCATTTCGCAGTGATTTTTTTGTAAAAAAAAAAAAAAAAAAAAAGATGCCAGAACTCACACAAGTCATACAACCTGCCTTGCCTACCCTACAAGGTTCCATCCAAAAAAGGTGCCGAAACTCTGTTCTGGGCGTTCTATGAGAAAAAAAGCCCTGCCATTTCAGACAAATGGCTGTCTAATCTCTTCTTAAAAACTTCCAGTGTTGGAGCATTTATCGCTTCTGGAGGCAGGTTGTTCCACTGGTTAATTGTTCTAACTGTCAGGAAGTTTCTCCTTAATTCTTGGTTGCTTCTCTTTGATTAGTTTGCACCCATTGCTTCTCGTCCTGCCTTCAGGCACTTTGGAGAATAGCTTGACTCCTTCTTCTTTGTGGCAGCCCCTGAGATATTGGAACACTGCTATCATGTCCCCTCTCGTCCTTCTCTTCATTAGACTAGACATACCCAATTCCAACAACTATTCCTTATATGTTTTAGCCTCCAGTCCCCTAGTCATCTTTGTTGCTCTTCTCTGTATTCTTTCTAGAGTCACAGGTTGATTCTTGTCCTTCTGTTATCTGTAAAGAAAGCTGGTCTTAGATATAAGAAATATTTGCATTTTCAGATTCAGAGGTTGCTATAGGGATGTTATGATGAAGCTTCCCATAGATCACTGTGATCTGCAAGGCCACATTCTGTATGTCTCCATTTGCCTCCCAAACAGTCCCATACATCTGGAAACTGATTTTATCCACAGTATTGTGACTAAAAATGAGACTTGGTGTATTGTTATTGATTTCTTTAGGAATATAGAGGAAAATAAATGCAGGTTGCTTTAAAAATAACAGGAATATTTCCTCCCTATGAGCATCTTGCTCCTTTCCTTCTCATGTTTGTCAATTTTAAACCAATGATAATGCTACTATTTATTATTTTAATCTTTTTGTTTTCTTTTGTCTTGATTGTAAGTTGCCTAGAGTAATCTCTAGCCAAGATGGACAGCATTTAGATTTAACAAACAAACATTAAATGATCAAAATCTGTTAATCAAACCTACTAAATGACATATTTTTAAATAATAGATTTGCAAAAGTCATTTATTTCTATTTTATTTTGACATCAAATGTTCTTTGGTATTCAGATCTGACCTAAAAATAATAATATAGCACTTGGGGATGAAAATGCAGCCCAGCAATCCAGCACTGGAGGCCAAGATGGAGAAGACCTGAACAGCCACCATGTACTTCCCTTTGGTGCTCAGGTAGGCTGGAACAAAGGACACCCAGACACTGCAGAAGACCAGCATGCTGAAGGAGATCAGCTTGGCTTCATTGAAGGCCCCAGGGAGATTCCTGGCCAGGAAAGCCACCATGAAGCAGAAAGCTGACAGGAAGCCCATGTACCCGAGGGCAACATAAAACATGGCGACAGAACCTTCATTGCATTGTAGGATGATCTCTCTAGGTTGGGAGTGCATGTCAGAGTCAGGGAATGGGGGGAAAGTTCCCAACCAGATGCTACAAATGACAAATTGGAGACCAAAACAAGAAAGGACAATGGAGTTGGCAAAGCTCTTCCCCAGCCATCTCTGCATTTTATTCCCTGGTTTTGTGGCCAAGAAGGCTAACACCACTGTGATTGTTTTGGCCAAGATTGAAGAAATGGCAATTGAGAAGACAATGCTGAAGGCTGATTGTCGGAGGAGGCAGGTCACCCTCCTTGGCCGGCCAATGAACAGGAAGGAGGTCAAGATGGAAAGCAGGAGGGAAACCAGAAGGATGTAGGAGAGATCCCGGTTGTTGGCTTTGACAATTGGTGTTTCCATGAATTTAATGAAGATCCCCAAGGCAAAGCCTGTGGTTAAAGAGAGCAACAAGGCAATGGACGTCAGGACAATCCCCAGATTTTCCTTATAAGAAAGGTAGCTTTTAATCTTGGGGATACAGTGAACTCGATTGGTGTTTGGATGCTGATCTTCCAGACATTTGGTACATTTGTCAGCATCTGAAAAAGAGGAAGAATGGGGTCTCCCTTTAACATGTCCCTTAATAAAATGCATTGTTTAAGTAAAATAATTTTTGGTGTGAACAGATATAAGGGTGTGGAAAGATGAAGTCAATGTGTTTCTTCATTTCCCTCCATCTAGAACAGTGGTTCTCAACCTTTTTAAGGCCGTGACCCCCAACCGGTCGTAAGTCGAGGACTACTCAACCGGTCATAAGTTGAGGACTACTCAACTGCTACAGCACCATTTGTAGAATGGGACTTTTGGTGGGCTCAGCAGGGCAGAGACAGCCTGGACAATTCCTATTGGCTGTTGAAAGCCAATAAAATTAGACTCTATTCAAGAGGGTCTATTCTATTGGCTTTCAAAAGCCAATAGAATAAAAGGGAGTAGCACAGCTAAGGAAAAGGAGGAAAAAAATGGCGGACTGCATTGTTTGGCGACCCCCCTGAAATGGTCGTTCGACCCCAAATCAGGTCCCGACCCACAGGTTGAGAACCACTGATCTAGAAAGTCTTAATATTACTTTTCTTTTTTAATGTCACCATTTCCTCATTGAACTTGTTGAGAGAATAGAAAGGATGAAGAAAGGATTCAAGGAAGGAAGACAGTTCCATCATTTTATCTTTTCACTGCTGAAAATTAGAGCCTTTTGTCAGTGCCTTAAGGCACCAATGAGATCCAGCCTAAAATGGAATGAAGTAAACGTGAAGGATCAACTGAATTGGATAAGCACTACTTTTGCCATGGAGAAAGACATGTTAGGTGAAGTTCCCCTTGAAGATGAGTTAGACATGGAGTGAGGACATCAAAATGCATTCCTCTGAAGCAGAAGACTTTGATGAAAGAAATGGAGCATTCTTAGATGAAGGAGTGCAACATTGACAAGAGGAAAGATGAGAAACCAATAGAAGAAGCAACTGAAGAAGCAATTATACAAACAGGAGCACAGAAAGAGAAATCTGATCGAGAGAGTGAATTAACTGCCAGAGAACAGAGGATCACGAGATCGACTAGATCTAAATATAAATAACTGAAATGGAGAAAGAAAACAGACTTTTTTTTCAGTGAATATAAATGGACTAAACTCCCCATCAAAAAGAAACATTTTTTTACCAAACTACAGAAATTAAATATAGATATAATTTGTTTGCAAGAGACACATATAAAAAAACAATATTATAAGCTGTTGGAATACCCCAAAATTGTGAAACTTTATCATGCATCAGCACAATAGAAAAAAAAGAGGTGTTGCTGTATATATTAAAGAGACAATAGATTCTAAAATGATTTATTAAGATGAAGAATTGTGATGGTAGAAATATAATTGCATCAAAAACAAACATTGTTAGTAGTAATCTACACACCAAATAATAACCAGGAAGAATTCTATCAAAATCTCCATAGACAATAATAGAAATGGAGTACCAAAATATTTGTTTCGTAGGAGACTTTAATGCGATAGTGGATGGGACATTAGACTATAAAAGTAGTACAACAGGAAAAACTGGAAGAAGATTACCTAATACCTTTTTAAATATGATAGAAGAAATTGGAGTACAAGATGTTTGGAGGGAAATTAATCCAGGAAAATTACAACATATATTTTATTCAGTCAAAAATACTGGACCAGAATCGATATGATCTGGATGACATCTGAATTGAGGATAAATATGCAGGAAATTGAGATAGAACCAGGTACATGGGCAGACCATAACCCTTTAAAAGTGATGTGGAGAGGAATACAAAAAAAAAAAATCAAGATGGACTATATTAAAAGAAAGAGAATTTATAAAATAGCAAAAAAAAAGAAATGAAGTTTTTCTTCAAAGAAACAAAAAAGAAGATACAATATTACAAAATGTATGGGATATAGCCAAAGCATACTTCAGAGGTATAGCTATAACATACATGGCAAAAAAACCCCCAAAAGACAGCAGTATGTACTATTAAAGAAAAAATTTGGAAAATTAGAATCAGAACTGCAAATGAATCTTAAAAAGAAGATTCTGAAAAGAGAAATGGAAACAATAAAACACAAACTAAATTTGTTGGATTCAGAAAAATATTGGCACAACAAATAAAAAGAGCAAAACAATTTTTTTTTTGAAAATGCAAATAAACCAGAAAGATGGTTTGCTTATAAACTTAAAAAACAGAAGGAGAAGAAAATGATAAATAATTTAGTAGATGAAAAAGGTTGCCTACAATTTAAAAACAAAGAAATAAAAAAGATAATTAAAGAATATTACAAGAAACTGTATGACAGAGAAGAAATTCCAAGAGAGAGAATGATCCAATATCTGGAAGAAAATAACCTTCCAAAAATCTCAGAAAGTTGTAAGATTATGTTAGAGGAAAAAATAACAATGATGGAAATAACAGAGGCCATAAGAAGACAAAAAAAGAAGAAAACACTGGGGCCAGATGGACCACCGGGAGAGTTATATAAAGCTTTACAAGATATAGTAATAGTAGTAAAGTTGGAAGGGACCTTGGAGGTCATCTAGTCCAACCCCCTGCTCGGGCAGGAAACCCTAAACCATTTCGGACAAATGGCTGTCCAGTCTCTTCTTAAAAACTTCCAGTGTTGGAGCATTTACTGCTTCTGGAGGCAGGTTGTTCCACTGGTTAATTGTTCTCACTGTCAGGAAGTTTCTCCTTAGTTCTAGGTTGCTTCTCTCCTTGATTAGTTTCCACCCGTTGCTTCTTTTCCTGCCTTCCAGCGCTTTGGAGAATAGCTTGACTCCCTCTTCTTCGTGGCAGCCCTGAGATATTGGAACACTGCTATCATGTCCCCCCTCATCCTTCTCTTCATTAAACTAGACATACCCAATTCCAGCAGCCATTCCTTATATGCTTTAGTCTCCAGTCCCCTAATCATCTTTGTTGCTCTTCTCTGTACTCTTTCTAGAGT